AATCTTGGGCTTTATCAACAGAGGCATAACATCCAAATCACATGATGTCATGGTCCCGCTGTACACTGCATTGGTCAGGCCACACCTGGAGTATTGTGTGCAGTTCTGGAGGCCTTACTTCAAAAAGGATGTGGACAGAATGGAGTGCGTGCAGAGAATAGCAACAAGGATTATCAGGGGTCTGGAGAACAAGCGCTATAAGGAAAGACTGAGGGACTTGGGAATGTTTAGACTGGAGAAGACGCAGTTGAGGGGGGATATGATTGCTCTCTTTCCGTATTTGAAGGGCTGTCAATTAGAGGAGGGCAGGGAGCTGCTCCTTTTGGCAGCAAAAGATAGGACTGACAATAATGGGGTTAAATTAAGGGCAAGAAGGTACCAGCTAGATATTAGGGGAAACTTTTTTAAAGTAAGAGTTGTGGAATCAGCTCCCTGTGGCGGGTGAGCTCCCCCTCACTGGCAGTCTTTAAGCATCATCTGGACAAGCACTTGTCAGGGATACTGTAGGCTGATCCTGCATTGAGCAGGGGGTTGGACTAGATGGTCTGTATGACCCCTTCCAACTCAGTGATTCTATGATTCTATTATGTTTGTGTTGGGTTTTATGTATAATGCTAGGTTTTATAATTAGGAAAATTGTTATAATTAATGTTAGGTTTGACTTTTGAATGATACATTTTTAATTAATTGAATTTTAATTTTACCTAATTTTATACTAGTGTCAGACTCTTGAACAAACTCACTCTCAACAACACTCTCTTGTAGTGATTTTTTAATTGAGATATGAAGATGGGTCAAGCTGAGCTCGTCTGTGTCAGAACTAACGGATGTGGTGCCAGTCCTGGTATTATACTTAATTCAAACAATCCCCCCCAGTGATCCATCCAATCAAGCCATTCATGCAGCCCACCTAAGCTAAGCGTGTGTCCCCCCCCCCCCAACTGCAAATCTACAGTTACATTATCTACGACAGGCCAGCAGAGACAGGCTTCCAAGGTCATTCACATTCTTCCCATTTGGGAGGCCTCTTAAGAAAACAGTTACCAAGCAGTTAAGCAAAGCAGTTCTCACACACTCATCCACATACAACAACTGCCTCCCCCCAATGGCCCAAATACAGAATGGTTACAGGTAGTGAAGACAGAACAACAGAAACAAATGGCAAACAAGGACCCAAGTTTGACAACTAGATCCCCTGATGAAGTGAATTGCAAAACATGTAGGGATCCACAAGAACTAAATAAATATTTTTCACCTTGCACCTGTTTTTCTACATTTTTTCTCCCTGTATAGAGAAAATAGTGCTTTTTACTGCATGCAAAATGCAATATCCATATATTAAAAGGGCTGTCCTGCAGAATGGATATGGACTAGGATTACAAACACCACTGCTTTGTCCAAAGTAACTACAGGAAAGACCAAAGTTTCTTGGTTAAATAATCTGATCACAGGACTGCAGCAGCTTGTTGCCTATATCATTCATTTGCTTTGCAAAATTTAAATAAGGCATATAGTTCATATAGTAGCGTATGATACATGTGCAGAAGCAGGGGTTACTCAGCAAGGAGATGGTCTCAGCCTGCTGCGGCAGAACAAACATCCTCTTGCAGAGCAACCTGAGTGCTCCCAGACATTCAAATCAAGCCCTGTTCTCATATCTCAATGCTGACGTTTCAGTCACAAATCTGCAGCTGTTTCCAAGGGAACCACATGAGTTCCTTCTGCAAGCCTACATCACTGTAACTCAACGCTCTTTCTCAATATCAGACCCTCCCCTTCCACTAAGGAAAGTAACAGAAGCTTATCTGTGACAACCAGGCTTATCAGCCTGAGCAAAATATATAGCCCTATGCTCATGGCAAGCATCTGGACAACAATAATGACCTACACTGATCTGACATTAAAGTCTAGTGCCTTCCATATCAGGACAACCAGTAAAATCATTCCCAGCCCAGAAACACAGTTACAAGAGATGAAAGCAGGCAGAACACAGACACTTTCACACAGTTTTGAAATCAGAGATGGAAAAACAAAGCCTCTGAGTGTTTTATGAGCTGAAACAGTAATTGGGTAGTCAGAAGCATTGATTAGCTATTTCACACATCGCCCATTAACAATATGGATGGTTTAACACATGTATGGTCTGCTACAGAAAATCCAGTGCGCACCTATTTTACACAGGTTATAATCCCCTAGGAGTTTTTCTTCCTTAAACTCCACCAGCATGAATGGATGAAAGATATAGGAGCACAGCTGTGCTCTCATTAATTCAGTGATGCTGCCCTGAAGAATCTGGTGAAAGAACTACACCCAATGTATTTGAAATTATTTTCCCAATTAAATTATTTGACCAGGTGTTTAGTGATGAAAATTTTTTCACATTTATTACCAATATTTCACCTATTATAATATACAAATGATTGTTTTAAAAGTTATTAGCAACAAAACATTTTAAAGACGGCTGGCAAACGGTATCAGGATAAAATACAGAAAGGCAAACTGAGTTGCCAGAGAGACACACTCCATCCCCTACTAAAGACACATAGGTAATCTATGCTTGTCATGATTGGCAAGAGATTTGATATGGGGAAAAATCTAGGGCATTTTCAGCTTAACAATTTTTGCACATACTCATTTCCCCCAAAAAATCAATTCTGTTTCCACATCCTCATGGCATGTGGCTAGAGTCTTACTAATTATCCAACGAAAAAAGTTCATAATTCTACAATTAAAAACCCAACTGAAAAAAGTAGATTAAATAAAATACAGAAAATGTAAAAACAGCAGAATGCTCTACATTTTTGCTGCAAAAGTTGCTCTGCATTGTATGGATTCCTAGGCAAGAACTGAGTTTGGTGGAATGCATGGCAGGAAGAAGATACGGCATAGTAAGTATAGCCTGATCTCAGAAGCTAAGTTGGGTCAGTTCTTGAAAGAGCTCTCTCAGCCCCACCCACCTCACAGGGTGTCTGTTGTGGGGAGGGGAAGGGAAAGGAGTTTGTAAGCCGCTCTGAGACTCCGAGTGAAGGGCGGGATACAAATCCAATCTCCTCTTCTTCTTTTTCAAAGAATTATATGCATGCTTCTTTAAAGCTGCCATTGCTGCTGCTGCTGCTGCTGATTCAAGGAGCACAGAAAGCATGTGTACATTTAAAGGGCTATACATGTACACCAGTGCTCACCAGTCGAGAGCACCATCTTGTCTTGGCAAAGAAAATGAAATGTACTTGTTGACTAGAACGCAACAAAAAAAGGAGAAGCTGTTTCTGTTCTTTTAAAAAAACTGACAAGGTAATGTACAGTGAAAATTATAAGAACAAAGCATCTTTCTAAAGAGTGAAAAGGCAGGCAGGCGAAGTAGAAAGGCAGGGCTACACATGGTTCCCTGCCACAACCAAGTCCATACATCCATGACAATAGTGAGACAACAGTGTTGCAGTCAGTTAACACCAAATCACTGTTTGTGAATGCATTATTTACAACTTCCACTGCAACAGTTTACAGATGAGCATTGCCTGTATTCAATGCTCCCTCTAAGCTGTGGAGTCTTGTGAGCAAAAATTCTACTTTGTGAGCTACTGGCATTAAAGTTGTGAGCGAGCGATTTGACTGCTGCATACATTAGTTTTCTCTGGAGCCATCCTTCCTGGAAAAAATGTGTGAGCTGGAGGCTAAAAATCTGTGAGCTAGCTCACACTAACTTAGCTTAGAGGGAACACTGCCTGTATTATCCAGAATAAATGAATGAGCAAGTGGGATCAATACCAGAAAACAAGGCTAGGACGGGAGCACCCATTGTTACCCTCAACTTGTCTTTCATGTGGCAAGTTAGGTCCTATTGCTTCTCTTATACCAAAGCCAGACATCTTTATATGCACTGCATTAAGTGAGTATATGAGAGGGAGACCCACTCCAGCATGTAAAGATTGCACACACAATGGAAACACAGCAGCCATCTCATAACATATGAAACTACATAGCCTAAATATGCATGAATTAGAACAAGAAATGCAGGGCATTCTGCCTTTGCCATTCCCCACCATCACTGCAGTTCAAAATTATTCCTGAGCAAAATTATGCAGGTGCTGAATAAGATATAAATGCTGAATAAGATACAAACCTGAGTGACTGGTATGGGCTGAAAAAAAAATATAACGTGGGGATTTTGTTATTTATCAGGACAGGACTAGTCTCACATTTTAAATTTTCCCTCCCACCCCTCGTAACTTAAAATGGAATAGGAGGTTACTAAAGCCCAGAGAATGATGTAATGTTCTTAAAATGTACATGAATAAAAACTAGACCAAAAGTGATAGGCTTGCTTCCTGCTTGTTCAGTGTACTCATTTTCAATTTGTACCAGTTCTCTCTTAAGAATGCTGCAGTGGTCCTTTCTAAAAGGCAGAAAGCCACAATCATCATAGCAAAGCAAGAGATATCAGGATGTAGCTCCCGGCATATTTATTTTTTTAGTTCATTTATACCCCACCTTTCTCCTCAATGGGGACCAAAAGCAGCTTACCTTTCCATTTTATCCTCACAACAACCAATGAGGTAGGTTAGGCTTACAGAGTGAGACTGGCCCAAGGTCATTCAGCAAGTTGCCATAGCTGAGTGGGGATTCAAACTTGGGTCTCCCAGATCCAAGTCTGACATTTTGGTCACTACCTAACGCTGTGCAGGAATCAAGCCTGTCACTTTCAATCTAGTTATCACCCACAGACATTTTAAGGAGAAACTCTGTGCATTAGAATAAAGTAGTTTTCTCTTGTAGTTTCTCTTGGTTATAAGAAGCTGTCTGTGAAGGAGACTCGGGGAACTGAGATTCAGAGGAAATTGAATCCTTTGCCAAACATCGAAATGTAATGCTATGCAGTGCACAGACATGCACAGGCACAAGACTGGGTTCCTACTGCTAGATATTATTGTTTAGTAATAGTAATCATCCTGCACCTCTGCTGTGCCTTTGGAAAAAAAATATTTAGTTTAGTGGATACATACCCCTCCTCGCCCAGCCCCAGGAACAGTTGACCAAAAAAAGCCTCTCCAGTCAGGATCCTCAAAGATATAGGGTAGGATGCGAGTTAAGAGACGGCTGCAGTTCAGGATAATCTGCTTTTCTTTCTCAGAGTGACAGCCACTCTCAGCTCCCTGCACCAGCTTTTCCACTGCCTAAAACAACAGAGATAAAGCAAATGTCAGGAGCCACACACCCACAAGGACCAATTTTTGCCATAGACATGCAGTGAAAGTTTGAGTGGTTTATAGCAGGGCCATTATACCATGGAAATGTATAATTTTTTTTCTTATTTCTAACGAACTTCCTTTGGACACAACTTAAAAGTCCATTTAAAGAATCCACTTTCCCAAAATACTCTTTTCTTATGTTTTCCAAGGAGATGGAATTCGGATGTTTTCCGAGGAGATGGATCAAGATGGGTAGCTGTGTTAGTCTGTCTGTAGCAGAAGACAAGAGTAAGAGTCCAGTAGTACCTTAAAGACTAACAAAATTTGTGGAAAGGTATGAGCTTTTGTGAGTCTGAAGAAGCTGCATCTGAAGAGATGAGCAGTGACTCACGAAAGCTCATCCCCTACCACAAATTTTGTTAGTCTTTAAGGTACTACTGGACTCTTACTCTTGTCTTCTGCTACAGACAGACTAACACAGCTACCCATCTTGATCCATCTCCTCGGAAAACATAAGAATTTCATTTTCACCCTAAATCCAATTCCAAAACTTAAAATGCAAGACTATGCCCTCTAAATATTCCTTTCTTTCAAACAACAGGAAACTGAAGGCGGCTCAGTGCTTTGCAGTGCATGCCAAGCCTCCTCGAACAGAGTGTTCCATACATAAGTGCAGTGTAGTGGGCCAGCCACAGTCCAAGTAACTTAATAGTCTACATGTCCTGTGCTGCAGGGGATAGGAGCAGGTATCCCTTGTGTTCAGCAAACAGCAAGAAAAGAGAGGGGGGAAATCTCACTTGACTGAGGTTGCCAAAGGACTCAGTGGAAGGTTCCTGCACCAAAAAAATATTTTCAGTACGGGAAATAACATGTGGTTAGATTCTGAGTACTTGTCAGCAGGAGGAATATGAAACTTTAGCACATTCCCCCTCCTGCCCAGCAGTCCCTTTCAACCCCCAGAAAATGGATTCTTGGGGTTATGAGACCCACATGGTTTGGGGGGCTGTGAAGAAGGGCATAATTACCTTCAGTCAATGCAGCTCTGTTGACGGAAGAGAAGGAGCAATTTCACCCCTTCCCCACAATAATGCCCCAATTCATACAGCTGTTAGCACATGTGGCTTCCACAAACCCAAGACTCTACCTTCCAGGGGTCAAAAAGGGCTGCTGGCAGGGTGAGAAATTCAGAAAGATGTTTTACTCATGATCAAACACAAGAGTACATTTTAGGTTACAGCAGGTGAATTTCCTGCTGCTTAATACAAAAGAATTCCTCTATGGCAGCGTAATGGACAGTGAATGGTTAATGCTTTAACCTGGTCTGAGAACCTTGAGTGACAGGGGATTCAAATGGATTTCTACAGCTAAGAGTGTCAATTAAGAGTGGCAGGTAGAACAGTGAAGTTCAGTTAAGTAGAGTATGAGGATCAAGGAGGATCCTGAATTAGGGAAGTGGGACCAGTAGTTCTTCCTAGGAAAAGGGGGTGATTCCTACCCAGTGTTTAAGAGGGTAAATTGGAACTTGTATGTTCCTGCCTTCACAAAGAAGTATTTTTGAGACAAACAAGCTTATGCATGCTTATTTAAGCAGTGACCACCAAGAGATCTCTCTCCACAGTTTTAAAGACCTGTCTGTAGAACCAAATTGCTACCTTATTGTGAAAAACTATTATTTGTTATACAGTTACCTCATACCTGTCAGCTTTCTTAATGTATCTCCTTTTTGATGTTTATCGTCTTTAAGCCTTGATGAAAGATGAAGATATATTAATCATTGCATCTTTTCCCCTTCTTCATTAATTACTTGCCAAGATTTGATTTTCCCGTGTTTATCTATCCTATCTTGATATATTATAAAGTCATTGGTTTTCCTATCAGATTTGTCATGATAAGCATCTAGTGGGGACACTAAAGATTATATTGGGGGACTTATTCTTGTGTTAAGTGACCACCAATTTTTCAGCAAGCTGTCTCTAATGACATGGCCAGTACTTCTCATGGTTTTTTTAGTTGTTTTCCCAGTTTTAATCCAAAGATGTCTATGTAAGCCATCCAGCAAATCTGCTGCTTCCAGTTGCATCAGTCTTTCATTGCATCAGATATATATTTCATTTAGTAAACTCTTAGTCTGTCTCTTGCAAGCTTGCCTACATATATTTATCATACCAATTATAGAACCGTGACCAAGTATTCTGAAATGTCGAATCTGTTGCGCCTTTTATCAATAAAGTCAATTTATCCAATTCCGCAGGCTCCAAGATTTTATTTACTAGTTCTCGTTTTGTTGGTATCTCCGGTAATTTCCAATATTTTGCATAGAGAATTCTTGCAGCCGTAGTTAAAAAAACAATCAAATAACGATAATCTTTGTTAGAATTATCAGGTAGAATATTCAACAACAAAGTGTCTGGTGTAAATGGTACTACCGTCCCTAGTACCTTTTGCAAGGTTTCATGTACCATTACCCAATATTTCTTAGATCTTTCACAATGCCACCACATGTGTTAAAATGAGCCAAACTTATTTGAACATTTCGGGTCAATTTTAGCTAACCTTTCAGGTGTTACATACTATCTATAAAACATTTTATATATGTTTTCTGTATACGGAATAGCTTTCGTAATCCTAATATTTTTCTTCCATATTTGATCCCACTGCTCTAAATTAACAGCATGCCCAATATTCTGCCCCATTGAATCATATTCCCTTTTATTATTTCATCCACCATTAAATCATCAAGTAACAACACATAAAATCTTCATAAAAGCTTCTGATCCATAGATGTCATAATCTTTTCAATCTCTATAAGGTTTTTATAAAATCCGATTCTCTTGTCTTTTGTAAATCTGGATTCTATTTGCGCTCTTTGCCACCATGGTAGGTCTTCTAATGGTTTCAACCGATCTTCGGAGTCCAATATATCCAAATACCTTCTTGGTAATTCTTCCTGGTATGCATTTGGGAGTGTGATGGCTTCTAGTGGAACAGTCAATTTTGAGATTTTTATATAGAAGCGCTTATGTATGTTTTCCCATACTTTCA